TAAAGTCGGTAAAACAGAACTACGACAGCATCCCCTTAAGGGCAGTCTGAAATGTTCATTCTTTCTTTTTTTTTTGCCCAATTTTGCTCCTTTCTCCGTTCCTTCTTTCTTTTCTCCGAGCCGACACTAAAACCCGGTTATGGCTGGATGAGAGCTTCGAGGCGGTCCTTTACAGCGTCGGACCGGGTTTACCGGGTGTGCGGAATGCGCAATTATCGGCGGATATGCGACAATAAATACTATAGTCGGAGAAGGGAAGATCATCGTTTTAGAAGCCGATTTCTTCTGTCGAGAGAGAGAGAGAGGGATCGTCGCTTTCACAAAGCTTCTCTTTCGCAATGTCGCGCGAAGATCTCTCGCCGCTTTTCGTCTCGTTACATCCGCATGCATCGCTCTCTAGAGCGAGATGATGCACTTGAGATGACGCTAGAGCGAGCTGAATCGATGCAAATTGTATCGATTTTGCGAACACTGGCATATTCGAGTGGGAGATGAGCACCCTTGCTGAAGATACATGTTGCGCATGTTAAAACGGAGTAAAATGTTTAATATGCGATACGTGTGTTTAAAATATGCAAAATACGTGTATTTAAAAATATTTAAAATTACACACATATATGTGATTCGTAAATTATAAAATAAATATGGGTAATGTTGATTCAGTATCACCGCAAGGTACTGCAAAACAAATGGAAGATGTTAAATAAACATTATGTTAAATAAACATTATTATATACATACATAATCGTAAAATTTTAGATAAATAATATATGCATTTCATTACATTAGTATACCTTTCGAATAATAATAATAATAATAATAATTATCATTATTATAATAAATTATTATTATTATTATTATTATTATTCGCGGACGTCTGTTATCTCACACTTGCACAATTGCTAACCTGCCGTGAAAATGTTGGCGAATTTGAAACACTATGCGCAATTGTGGAGCAATCTTCTCTCTTTTTCTCCAGGAATGAGTACGAAACGATGCCATTACCAAGATGATGTCGTTCGAAAAAGTCCGCAGCTGTCGTCAAATGTATATCTTTGCTTCTACCTAGCTCGTTTTCGCTTCATAGGAAATTAGGCAATTTCATTTTAAAAAAACGTATCTGCGAATCCCAAATATTATGGAACATTGCCATTGGAATTTAATCCAACTTTTAATTTTAATAAATGATAAAAAGGATATTGAGAGTCTTATTGTTAGATACGCAGATAATAAAAATTTTCTAGTTACACGGAGAGAATTTTTTCTTAAAATTTATCCTAAAAATCATTATATCGTGGGACAATTGATTAATATTTACCATAATAAAAAATATTAATATATACCTAATAAAATTAATCGAACATATTTTAATAAATCTTATTACGATAGGTATTAATATTTTTATCGTGGTAAATATTAATCAGAGAAAGTATTATAGGTAATTCTTCAAAATTTTTCAGGGTGAATTCTAATTGTAAGTAAGTGTAAAAGAAAATTCTCTTTATGTAAGTCTAGATACTAAGTAATGAAAAATCGACGAAAAAACTGTCTGTATCACGCGATCGTAATTATTTCGATTTAACTTTCGTCGAAAAATTCTTTCTCCTTTTCTTGCGAATGAATTGCAATTAATAATAGCATACGAATCGGATTGCTGCGCACACATGGTCGTGCGCGCACATACTCGATTTATTCAACAATTTAACGCTCGGATAGAGCCGGCTCGCGCGCCCTTGAATTTCGAAGAATGACCAATGAATCGACCGCGGCCGTTTACGCTTTACGTCTTACGCGTGATTTTCTCTCGTGCGCACTCTCCTCCGCCGCGAGATCCTTTGGCGAGGTCGAGTTCCTTCTCTCTCTCATCGCGCGATAGAAATACGATCGTACGAAGCGATTATTTCTTTGCGGCACACAGAGCCTTGGATAATTGCTATCTCGCTTATTGCGCCTCTCGCGATCTCGCTCGTCGTTGCGTTTTGGTCAGCGAGTATTTGGAATGGATGCAGTGGCGTAAGCTCGAGTTCTCCAATTTATAGTGTATCTCTAAATAAGTGCGACAAATTTTCACAGATCATTCTTTGTCGAAAATTAAGGGGGGTTTCTTATATAAACATATTTTTATATAAAGATATTTTTATATTTCTTCTTGAGGAGTTCCAAAGAGGAAGGTCAAAATTATTTTGTTCAATTTTAGAAAAAAAAATTGAGAAAAAAATAAAAACTTAATTTTTATCTCTCTGTTTAAGAAAGAGTAAAACTTCTCAAGGAGGGATATAAGATAAGGGATGTAGATAACAAATAAGAGGGAAAGAAACAACTCTTTCTAGATTTTGAGAAAGATATTGATCGTTCTCTTTAATATATTGTTATATGTTATAATTTCTACAAATGTATATTGTGATACATAAATTGTAAATATTATATAAAATTTGATAAATGATGTATTAATTCTCAGGAATGTTATCGAATTTTCAAATTAGTAATTAACCTCGTTTTCAGCCAAACATTTTATATATAGAATATAATATAATATTGAAATAATTGCATATAATATTGAAGTAATTATCGCGAAAATTATAATGTTTTGGAGTAAAAACTTATAATTATACACACGAAACGCTTCGAAGATAAATACAATATTTACGCGAAATATTTTATCGATCGATTTATAGCTATATACTAATTAAATTTCGTGTCTAGAGTAGATACTTTAATATCTCAAGTAAAAGTCCAGATAAAATTTTTTCTATGAAAAATTATGTTCCGGATTTTCCTTTCCTCGTGAAAAAAGAAAGAGGGAAAAAAAAGAGAGAACCTACGCCCGTGACGTGAATATTCGTTTCGCAGTCAGAAGATTTTGCGTTATGCAGAAGAGCATTCCGAGTAGTTCCTCGGCTCAATTCGACCAGGGCCCTGGTGCCTTATTAGAATTTATAGTCGGGGTATTTCAGAAAATTGCACGTTATCCGCTCTCGGTCGAGCATTTCCTAATGAATCCGGGACCACTTTTCTTCCTTTCATTGTCGAAAGATCAGTACGTTTGTCGGCAACTTTTTATCTACTATGCATATCTCCAACGTCAAACTTTCGCGAACGTTAATACGTTGTATTGACATACCACAAGTGCGTAATTAGCGAAAGAATATGAGACTGACAGGTCATTTCCTGGAAACTCATAAATTATCAAGTGTGTGTGACTTTGATTTGCCTCTAAAGGAGAGAGAAAAGAGAAGAGCTCTATGTAGTCTCTTTAATAATTTAGACAAATCGTTCTGGCCATTAAAGAGAGAAATTGCTACAAACTGAGAGGCGCAAAATGGTGTCTCGCTTCGTCCTCTTTGCTTGCGAGACTTTCCGTATAATTTTCGTCGGATGTTGAGAAATTTATGATTCTACATTTCTCAGTTCTAGAAAAAGTTTTGCCGTTTAAAGAGAAAAAAAATATATCAAAACGCACCCAGATGGAAAACTTACAGGTTTCCACAGAATTATCGATAAAGAAAAGTTCGCGAACGACTCTCGATAATTTATAAGTTTCCAAATGATACAGTTTTATAAAAAATATAATTGGCTTATTCGAAACTAATTAAATCTTTAGTTTTTTAGATCTGGTATATGACTCGAGATGAAATCTTCGTAATTGATGCGTTTTCTCATCAAAAGATTGACTAATCATTAATTTATTCGTTTTAATAATGACGTATTAATATAATACATAATTAATATAAATAAGTATTATATAAAATGGATGATATATATACATATATATATATATATATATATTATGCGTCTTATGCACGCCACAATATATTTCACTTTACTTTCGTTATTTATCGCGCGTTGTGTCTACCGCGGCTTTTCCTCCCATAAATGGCTCCGAGTCGAGCCTCACAAAGCGTTTCACCTAAAGATTTACTCATGCGTCGCTGCAATATCTTTTACAACCTACAGAAGAAAGAGAGAGAGAGAGAGAGAGAGAGAGAGAGTGTGGTACATCTCGTGATAATATCGGTGTATAACTTACATACGGAGCGAGTTATTATGTGCCTCCGCGTGCGCGGAAATATGTTAATATGCCTATTTCTTAATGTACAACAACCGGTAATGATGCACTTTGCCTTATGGGATCGCGCGCAGGCAGATCGATCGATCGATCGATCGATCGATCGAACGTGTTCTCGAAATAGCCAATATCTGCCGAGAGAAATCTGTGCGTTTAACCTTGCGCACTTCTCGAGATAGACCTGGCCTATGCATTTGCTAATGCATTATTTTTATCTATTTGTAAAAGGTTTGCAAATTAAAAACAATTCGGTCACTATATTATACTATAGAGCAAAGATTCAGCTTCCACTTTTAAAATTGCTGTGCGATTATTTTTAACGGAGTTACGAACGATCAAAGTGAAAATGACCATTTTCTCTTTAATTCTCGATAATTTGAGAAGGGAGAATTGAAATTTAAATTTAAAAAAATGATTTTGCAGGAAAAACTTCAGACTTTAACGCGAAATAGTAAAAACATTTTTTCAAATTTTGTTGTGCATGTGACACGTCTACAAAGCGAGAAAAACATTTTCATTTTGTTAAGTTTGTCATTTTTTGTATGTAAAAAGTACCATAACTGAAGAATATAAAAAGCAGCTGTGACCTTTTAAAAGTAGATATTTCAAGCTTTAAAATTCTTTCTTAGAATATAATTTCTCATTTTTTTAAAACAAAGTTATAGCTATTTAAAATTTGGCTATTTCTTAATACAATGTTTTTATTCCTTAATTATTTTGAGGAGTGTGTATATAAAATTTCTTTCTATTTTTTAATACTTGTATATACTTTTCAACATGGCAATAATGAGATAATATAGAATTTGAGTTTCAAGAAAATTTCTAATAAATTATATAAAAGCTTGAGATATTATTATGTCATGTTGCGCATTTCCTTTTTTTGCGACTTTGTGAAACGACTACTAATCTTTTACCCGACTCATTTATTTTGCAGGAGGCAGCAGTTGGAGCAATCTGTATACGAGCCCGAGTCGCGGCGAAGCACAACCGTGGAAGATGACAGACAAGGCTCCAATCCGGAGAAAGTCAAAGTGAGTCGAACCGCAATTATTCTAATTGATGTGCTATTCTAAATTGAATACTTTCCCGAGACACTTAGTTTGCGATTATGTTTAATTGCGCGTGCGAATGCGATTGTGAATTAAAAAGCGGAAGAAATAAGAGAAAGGGAATGGAAGGAAGCCGGAGATTCAAGGACATTTGGAAAAATATGTTACAGAGCACAACGCAGGATCTGTTCGAGTTACTAGAGCGAGTGCAAAGTTCACGTCTCGACGATCAACGCTGCGTTCTACCGTCATACTTTTCTCAGGTATGTGCGAAACAAGATTTATTACTAAAGTTTATATTAAAACGTACATATATAAGAAGAAGCTTTTCTGCAATTTTTCTTATAAAAGTGTGAGCAAAAAAAATTCTGCAAAAACGATTTCAACTAAGCGCCTCTTGTTTTTTTTATCGCGTTTTTTAATTATAATATAATTAAAATATTTGTATATATTCAAGAGTAAAAATGCTTACGATGTGTCGGTTATTTTTCAATTTAAGGCGACTCTATACTGACATATAATACACATACTTGCGTGATACCGGCGCCCGTATATCCGAAAGAACAAAGCTGTTTTAGCCTCTCATTTTTAAATATCACGCGTTGCTCTAACTAGCATCTCCAAAAGCTGAATTACGTCGAAATTTACGTCATTTCGCTTCTATCTCACGCCTGTCACGGCCAATTTAATCCCAAGTAATCGCTTCGACGCGCCCGATGTGAGATCTCAAATCGTCTCAATGTCGCGCGTGACCAACATTTTACAAGTATACATTCCTGAAAAAAAAAATAACTAAAATATGATAAACATAAAATTTTACGAGGGTAAGAAATATTTTTTCCTTCATAATTTTCATCATAAAGTCTTACAAAATTTTAAAGCATAAAGAATTCTCTGATAATAATTTAAAAAAAAAATATCTTTTTTAATCAAACATTTTTTCCTTTACAATTTTCATCATAGTCTTACAAAATTTTAAAGTATAAAGAAATCTATGATAATAATCTGAAAAACATATCCTTTTCAATAAAATATTTTTTCCTTTACATTCATCATAAAGTCTTATAAAATTTTAAAGTATAAAAAAATTTATGATAATAATCCGAAAAGCATATCCTTTTCAATCAATTCTTTCTTTTCAATTTTCATCATAGTCTTACAAAATTTTAAAGTATAAAGAAATCTATGATAATAATCCGAAAAGCATATCCTTTTCAATCAAATATTTTTTCCTTTACAATTTTCATCATAAAGTCTTACAAAGTTTAAAAGTATAATGGAATCTAAGTTAATAATTCGAAAAGAATATCCCTTTCAATGGCAATTCGACGCAACAGCTCGGTATGAAGAGAACGATTAACATCTTGAACTTCTCAAAAGAGATGTAACTCGCACTTTTCCCAAGCTCACCCATTGAAATCACTCTTAATTGTACTTGTAATTGTTTGTTGGGCGCAATTATCGTCGAGCGAGCTTATGTAAATCTCTCGCGTGACGCGCGGCGTACGCATTCGTTCGAGACGAACGGGCCTCTGCTCGTTTGCGCGCGAAGGAGTCGGAGATGAATGAACAACCGTTCCGCGAAGCGGTGGAAGGAGGTAAAGAAACCGAAGATGAATGAACAACGGCGCGATCCGTCACGCTGCGGTTGCTGAGATGCAGGCGAAAAAAACTCGCGGAGACGAGTCGCTCGATCGATTCCCTCCTTCTGCTCACGATCGCGCCGAGATAATTCGTTTTCGTTTCGAAAGAAGGTGAAATCGTACTAGTCGCACGACTTAAATTGGTATACGACATAGAAGAGCGAAATTGAGAAAGATGCGTCGTTCCTTTTGATATCGGGTTTCATCTAAAATTTGATTGAATGCTTGATTTAAAATAAAATAGTGCAAAAAATATTTTATACAGATTACTACAAAAAAAATATTCCTTTGCGTGACATCTCGATAATAAATATACTTACTCATACGCAAATGAAATTAGCAATAACAATTTTTAGGATTTAAATAATTGAAGCTGGAGAGACTTTTGTATATAATTAATAAAAATGATAATTAAGGAGATCCTAAGCCGTTCTGTTTCATCAATAAAACATTTTTGCACATTCTTTTCTTTTTATTGGTTGAACAGAATAATAAATCCTTTTCCATGATTAAAGTAGATATATAGAAACAAAGCGCGAGCTTACTGATTTTATGTTAAAAATAATTTTTTTCTTTAATGGAAAAGCATTTATTATTCTGTTCAAGGAATAAAAAGAAAAGGGTGATATTTTATTAATAAGACAGGATGGCATTTAGGATCCCCTTAAGAGTAAAATGTCAACAGTTGGAGAATTATTAAATTGACACTTAATTTAATTAATATTTAAATATTTACACGAATAAAGTGTAGAAAATATGTATAAAACTTTGCTTTTTTACCATTTAATTTTTAATTTTAATCTACAACGGGACTTTAATCTAAAAAGCTACTTACGTTAGATCCATCATACTTTATTCAATCAATCAAATGACGCTGCAGGTTTTATTCGACTAAAGTAGGATCTTCTATTTTAATGGGAGAAATTAAGCGACTTTTATACTCGTGGGAAAAGTCGCGAATACGCGAAAAGAAAAAAATGACATGTCTGCAGGAAGTTGCGCATATGGGAATATGCTTTTGAGGAATATTACGCGTTTCTCGTTCCCCTTCTCGGCCGCGAATCGCGATTTCATCACACGGGTTGTAATCATCTGTGTGCCACATGCTATATCCCACGAGATCTCGTGAGAAGCATTCGCTCTTTTTTACTTACCGAATTCGTCTCTTCTTTTTCTCCCGCGTTTGCTATTTTTTACATCTGCCTGATCGACGGATATATTTTTGCTGCCGATAATACAGAACGTTTTAATGAGAGATTCCTGTTGTGTCGACGAGACGTATATCGACCTGGGATAAGGAAGATGTCTGTAGCAAAGTTTCCTTTATTATCAACGATTGAATTTATATTTGGGAATCCTAAATGCCGGCCTAATTTTATATTAGAATTTTAGATTTTATGTAAGAACAAAAATTTATAATTTAAAAAAATTTTTAATTAAAAAATTTTTTTTATTTTAACATAAAATTGGTAATCCGCGCTCTGTTTTTATGTATACTTCAATCGTGGAAAAGCATTTATTATTCTATTCAACCAATAAAAAGAAAAGCGTGTGCAAAAATGTTTTATCGATAAAACAAGATGCATTTAGGATTCCCTTAATATCATTAATTTTTTATGTAAAATGAAATAAATTATATATTGAATCAACAAATAAGAAAATAAGAAATAGTTACAAACAAAATAAAATTTAATTCAAAGAAATTTTAGTCTATATTTTTATGCTGATTTTTAAAAAATATTTTTCAATTGATATATGCATTAAACATAGGCGTAATTGAAAAATTTGATAATTTTATTAAATCCTTTTGAATTTATTAACTTTAACATTAGAAAAATATATATATTTTATTGCCTTCATACTGTCGCTAGATGGCAGAGGAATTGTGTTACGAAACAGTATGGTTTCAAGTCTGAAAGATTTGTGAAAGAAACTTTATTTTATCGCACATATTTATTTCAACTAATATTTACGTTTAGTAAAAAATAATGAGATTATGTTCAATATTTGTTTAAGTTTTCAGAAGAAAGAGAGAGAGAATTAAATGATACAGTCGCATCTTGTATTTTCCAAAATTGTGCGTGAAGCATAATGGAAATTTTTTATATATTTTTTAATATCTTTATATATTTTCTAACTATTAGATGCATATATTTATTGCTTTTTTAATAGTGATTACAATTTTATAATTGAACAACTATAATATTGCATTGTCCCATTTATTCAAAACACTTTTGAAACTTGGCTCAAACTTGTGCACAAGGTTAATAACAAGAATAATTTATTTTATTTTAAACAGTAGTTATCAATTATTACATAACGCATCAAAGTCAGACATTTTTTTTTTAAGTAGTAAATAATTATATACATGGCTCATTAAGTATGCGAACCGAAACTCCGAAACGCGTCGTTGATTCGTTCTCAACGCGTTAAAATGAAACGCAGTATCCAAAGGGCCTAGACACGGTGAAAGGGAGGGGAAGAACCGCGGTGCCACTTCCGGTCGACCAGGTAAGCGCGCCGGAAGTGCCGCGTCGAGTCGTCGTACTATGGCCGAACGGACGGGAAGATTTTCAGATTTGTGCCCTCTGCGCAGTGGCCGTGAAGATCGTAGATTTCGTGCATGTGGGTCCCCCTTTTTCACAAAAGATCGTCGCACATTACATTTGCGCTCTTTGTCGATTACGGCTGGGAGAATAATCAACGGGGAAGCATCGCGTAAAAAAGCGAGGATAAATTAAAAATTCTACATTTATTTCAAAGAGAGAGAGAGAACGAATAAATAAACAAGTTTTTTTACATTTACGAGCCAAATTGCGTCCTGAAGTGGACTTTTTGACAAACTTTTTATTTAATCCTTCAGAGGAATTTTTTTCCAACTTTTTTCCTCTCTATTTATAATTTGTATTAATACTTTATTACGCAACTGTTTTTAAATGGTGGGGTTTGGTTGTCGAGTTATTGGAATATAAATTTTTTTTTTTGAGAATTTTTTTTCGGCTTCCCGATCTTCGACTGACAAAGCTGAAACCAGCGGTGTTACATTAAACGCACGGTCGTTTCCATTGATAGCGATTCAAATCGACTGCAGCTGCTACTGCTCGTTAATACTCGTTATCTCTCGACTAAACTGCATTGTGAAAAAAAAAACCGATATTGATATCTACTAGCGCACTCATTCATTTTCGACTATCAGCTCTCTTCCCTCTTTTTTTGAAGTTTCAACTAATCTTCCGCCTAATGAAAGATTAATATAATACTTGCGTATATAAATCGGCGCCATGAACGCGTCAACCGCTTTCTGGGCGCTATAATTATCTACCATTACACAGTTCTAATTACACGTCGAGGATAATTCGAAATAATCGATCGAATGAAGCGAGAGTTACAATTTAATATCCGCGATTCGCTAATCCCGTTCCGACCTGCAATTCTATTCGCTCTCTAATCCGATCCGTTCAAATTCGATTTCATTCGCCATTATGTTACATATGGCGCAATGTATTGGTAGATTCGCGCTTAAATATTTATGTCAGACATTTATTTTTTTTTTTACTGATTAGGGTTGTTTATTATTCGCCAGTCAAAAAATTAAAAGAAAATATTTCCCGACAGATTAC